AGACCAAAGGGCATTCTTTTGAACGCATACGTGCCATACGGACACGTAAATGTGGTTTTCTCTTGGTCCTCTAGGGCTATAGCAATCTGGTTATACCTCGAGTAACCATCTAAGAAACAGTAGTACTCCTGGCCAGCTAATCTATCAAGCATTCGGTCAATAAAGGGGAAGGGGAAGTGGTCCTTACGGGTGGCATTATTCAATTTTCTATAATCTATGCAAATCCTCCACCCAGTGACAATTCTTGTGGGAATTAAGTCATTATTTTCATTAACCACTACAGTCATCGCCCCTTTCTTAGGTACACATTGAACAGGGCTTACCCATTTGCTATCCGAGATTGGAAATACAATACCTGCATCAAGCCACTTAATCACTTCTTTTCTTACCACCTCTTTCATGATTGGGTTTAGTCGACGTTGTTGCTCTACACATGGCTTGTGTCCGTCCTCCATGAGGATTTTATGCATGCAAAAAGCTGGACTAATGCCCTTAATGTCAGACATTGTCCACCCAAGTGCTCGCTTGTGCTCACGTAGCACTCTCAACAGCTTCTCTTCCTGCAATTTAGACAAGTCAGAAGAAACAATAACAGGTAAAGTGTCAGAATCACCCAAATAAGCATATTGAAGGTGAGGGGGCAGAGGTTTAAGCTCCAATTTTGGAGCCTCCTCAATTGATGGCTTTGGAGGAGTCCCATCTGGCCTATTCAAAGGCTCAAAGGGGTGTATCCCCTACATGTAAGCACAAGATGTATCTAGGATATGCATCATCTCCTCAACCTCATCATCAATTCCCAGGCTATCGAACAACATAAGTGCTTTCTCTAGAGAATCGTCTAGATATACACTCGTATCAAGACTTCGCTCATCCGCCTCAACAACAGATATCATTGAGATCTCCTCATAGTGGCGGGGAAGTTGGATTGCTTTGTAGACATTAAAAACTGCTTCCTTATCATCCACCCTCAAAATCATTTTTCCCTCTCTCACTTTAATAATTGCATCACCAGTAGCCAAGAGAGGTCACCCCAATATGATTGGTACCAGTTCATCGGCCTCATAATCTAGGATAATGAAGTCCGCAGGGCTGATAAATTTCCCAATTTGCAGCAACAAATCTTCAATCACCCCCTCAGGGTGTGCTATCGACCTATGAACCAGCTGTAACATCACAGTAGTTAACCTTGGAGCTCCCAGGCCCAATTGCTTGAACAAGGATAATGGCATCAGATTTATGCTCACCTCCAAATCGCAAAGAGCACGACCCACATCAATATTACCAATTCGCACAGGGATGGTAAAGCTGCCAGGATCCTTAAGCTTTTGAGGGAGCTTGTTTTGGACCCTTGAAGTGTACTCCTCAGTAAGTGCAACTATCTCAAATTCAGTCAATCTTCTCTTGTGAGCCACTATATCTTTTATGTACTTAGCATACTTTGGAATTTCATGAAGTACATCAACGAGTGGAATATTTAATTAAACCTGGCTCAGCATAGAGAGAAATTTGCTGAACATGCGATCATCATTTTTTTTCTGCAATCTTTGGGGAAAGGTGGTGGTGGCCTTGTAGCCTCCACTGGCTCTGGAATTGCATCAGTATTCTTTGATTCGTGTGTCGCCTTAGGGATCAACTCACCCTCGGGTATGGACTTGTCTTTTCTTTTCTTTGGCACTTTCTCTAGCTCCCTCCCGTTTCTGAGTGTAACTACATTCACTTGAGGGTTCTTCTCTGTATCACTGGGGAGAGCGCCTGCAGGTCTAGTGTTTTCATTTGTTGCTAACTGCCCCATCTGCCTCTCAAGATTTCTGAAATCGGTCCTAAGCTGTTGATTGTCAAGCAACAACTTCTTTAGGAAATCATTTGTACTCTCTTCCATTTGTTGGGGTGGCTTCTGAGGTTGATTAAAATTCCCTTGGGGTCTATAATGATTCTGATTCGGCTGATTTCCACCCCATGAGAAGTTGGGATGATTCTTCCAATTTGGATTGTAAGTGTTCCCATATTGTGCATGCTGATTCATTTGACCTCTGCTCTGTTGGCCCACATAGTATTTGGATTCAGGATTCGTAGGGCATATGTCACTTATATGATTGTCGCCACACAGTTCGTAGCAAATAGACATTTGTTGTACATGTTGTATCGGTTGAGGTTTCTGCATTGTCATTCTATTCATCCGATTTGCCAATTTTGCTATATCGGCTCTCATGGCTGAAAATTCATCGAGCTCAATCAACCCTACTGCTTTCTACTTAATTGCCTTTCGTGAATTACCATCACCATGCCAATTATGATCATTAGCAGTGAAGTTATTTAGCAAGAGTTAGATTTCACTATACGGTCTAGCCATGCAACTACCCCCACAAGCTGAATCAAGATTCATCTTTGATGCTTTATCTAACCCATCCACAAAAGTGTGACCCAATACCTCGTCAGTCTGATAATGATGTGGATAGTCTCTGAGTAGCTTTTTGTATCTTTCCCATGCTTGACGAAGTGTTTCGCCATCCCGTTGTTCGAACCCAAGAATCTGACTCCTCAATGACTTTGTCTTCTTAGTGGGGAAAAACTTGATTAAGAATTTCCTTGCTAGATCATCCCAAGTGCGGATTGAGTTCACGGGCTCCTTCTGCAACCATTCCTTAGCTTCACCGAGCAGTGAAAAGGGGAAAAATGTCAGCCTGACATAGTCCTTGGAAACGTTCGAATAATTGTAAGTGTCCGTAATTTCCAACAAATTTTGGATGTGCCTTTGCGGGTCTTCATGAGATAGACCTACATATTGCCCTGTGGACTGGATCAGCTGCACCATGTATTGTTTGAGTTCAAAGTGCCCTGTGATATCAGGCTTCACAATAGCCTGAGTCATATTAGCAAGCCCTTGCGGCTTCAATCAACGCGCGCTCTTCATTACCTGCCATCTCTATTGGCTGTGGTTGAACTACGATGTCCAACTCTCTTTCAATTTTGGTTCTAGCGTCTACTTCCTTCCTCACTCTGTGAAGTGTTCGTTCAATTTCAGGATCAAGAGGAAGGAGATTGTTTGCGCTTCTACTCCTCCGCATTCAAAAAAAGAGCCTGTGTTAACACAAACAAGGTGAACTGAAAATTAAAACTTGAATAAATAACTAATAAAAGCTCAATTCAGTCAAGTAGCTAATTTCTAAGTCCCCGGCAACGGCGCCAAAAACTTGTTGCGACCAAAACACTCACGCAAGTGCACGTGATCGTCAATTAATAAAGTAGTGAGTAGAGTATCGTTCCTACGAAGACTTGTGATTAACTATTGCTTGATTCAAACTCAATTAGCTTATCGATCCAAGAGATTTTTCAAAAAATATAGTCGTCTCTAATTTACTACCTAAAAATATCAATTAATGGAATAACTAGAATAATCAACTAAACAAATAGCACTTTCGAATAACAATCGGTATGAGAGAATATTCCAGGGTCACGGGCTAGATAACAATCTTGTTGCGTTCTTGGCTTAAAATAACTAATTCATTTATCTGGATTGTTGATTGACAGGGCTGATATTACTCATAAGAATCTGTCGAATCCTTACTCGCCTATTCAAGTTAACTTAATGCCTATATGTCTATGAAATTAAGATTAACAAGAATGCATTCATAATTCCTGTATTTCAACCAAGCAAGGCAATTAGGTATATGTCTATCCTAATTGCGAATATGTTCCCCCGATGCTCAGGTTCAAGAACTTGCTCTATTTAACTCTATATGCAATCTAGAGTTCCCACTTTCGAGGCCAACTATAGATTCGTAGATAGTATTTCACTGTTAGCTACTCAGCAAAATAATTAAAAACAAAATTAAATAAACAACCCAATTTGATAAAATCAACTTCGTCAAATTAAACTCCGAACAACAACATTCATGTTTCACCCATGACCCTAGAACAATAGGTTTTAGCCACTCATAGTAGTGTTCATCTCAATAATATTCAATTTCATCACAAATCGTAAAAACAAAAGGAAGAAAAGAAGAACTTGATGTTGAAATCTCCTCCTGCCTCTTGCCTCTCTTTTTCTTGCACTAAACTATGAAAACCTTGATAGTAAATCCTTGGGCGAGCTTGAACTTATATAATTAAGTGAATTTACCCCCAGACGTCCAAGTTTACCCCTGAAAATTTTCTTTCCGGAACTGGGACTAGCGCGGCCGTGCTAGTGGCCGCGCTTGTGGACTAACATTCTGCCTCCCGCATCTGGACTAGGCGGTCGCGCTAGTGGACGCACTAGTCCAGGCCTTTATTTCCTCGATTTTTTTTCTCGTCTTCGCGCGTACTCAGCTCCTAAGGGTTTTTTCTTGCTTCAATGTAGCTCATATCATAACTTTAAGGCCTCATACAAGCTCCTCATCCTGTAACATATGAAATTCACAATTAGAGCCCATTTTTCATCATTTAACTATATTATGACATTGAAACATAATCAAGCCGGGGCATAAACAATCGCCAAATACATAAATCTAGCCTATTATCAAGCGCATTGACCCTAATGCGGATGAGGTGCCAGCGTGCAAATATGGTATATGGGCTGTCCCAGCCCATGCTCGACGCTGGTTCCAGACATTTATCCCGGCGGTGACCCCGGAGCCTGAGGTTGCTATTGACGATGGGAAGTTGGCCTGCAAATATAGTGAAGATATACAACAACATTCGGGCTTTGGGTTTCGACAGTTTGTTCCGTCCAGGTGATGCGGTGAATGTGACCCTAGTGAAAGAATTTTTTGCTAATAGGCAACCTGAGGCCAGCCTGGATGCTGTGTATGAAATGCAAGTACGGAGTAAAGTGATTCCATTCTCCTCTCAGGTGATCAATCAGATTATGGGCTTCACAGAGCTTTCCCACAAGCTCTTTCAAAGGTTTCTCCGTCGGCCAGACTATCCGGCTATCCGCCACTGCTGTGTGGCGCTGACTCTTCTGCCGCATGGGCACGGGATGCGGATGAATCCCTAAGGACATGAAGAAGAGTACATTCCAGTGGCCAGCCAGGGTTGTTTGCGGTTGATTAATGCCTAAATCATGCCCACTCAAAGTGACACTGATGTCCCACGGCTGAAAGTGTTTTTGATCTATGCCTTGTTGACACGGATGCGGGTCGATCTTGGAAACTCATGCTGGAGCATATGGCTAGAGTGTGACCACTTGGGGCCCACCGTCTATATTACCCGAGTGTGATCACTCGATTGTTGCGAGCGTACCATGTAGAAGAGGAGTTTCACTATGACCGGACTATTCCAGTGACTTATCCTATCAAGGCCTATGATGTTACGTCGGTGATAGACCCCCCCTGCTACTGCTGTTAATTCAGACAAGAGATTGGTCCGCATTGAGGAGACGCTACAGCTACTATTTGCTGACTTGAGCCTTCATGCTGCTCGGGGGGAGACCAACTTTGAGGAGTTGCAGCAAGATCACCCCCTTTCTGCTATCACTCAGTAGTGGTTGGGGTTGGCGAGAGGAGAACAGCTGCCACCGGATGAGGATGTGAACTCCATTCCCTCCGATGATGAGGAGTATTTGTGCACCTTCGAGGGTGCTGATGATTAGGCCTTGGGCCTCAGGGAGTCACCTTTTCACTCTTGATTTTACTGTTTTGCATTAGGGACAATGCAATCACTTAAGTGTGGGGTGGGGTGCTCCTATTTGATTGTATTTGTATTTTTTTTAATTTTTCAGTTGGTTTTGTTTGATTTGTTTCTTGCTTTCGTAGATACTATGGTCTGTAAACTATAATTCTAAATTCTATCGGCCTGTAATAGTTAGTACTTAAGTGTTTAGTTCGACTCTTCCCGACGATGGATTTCGTCGACTGGTTTCTTGAGGGTGATAAGTCGAAAGAAAAAAAAAGAAAAAAATTATATATATGTGAAAATCCAAAAATATTTCTTTTATTTTAGTATTTTTTGTAGGTAGTGTAACAATTCCCCCTTGGTTTTTCTTTGTAACACAGTTCTTTTCCAAGGGTTTTGCTTGAACCGGGTGTAGTTAAATCTTTTTATTTTTTAGGAATTAAGAATCTTTAGTCAGAAAGCTAATTCGAATGATCAATTTCCCTTAACTGCATATGCCTTGAGAGTGGTAAGTACCTTAGTTGTGACACCTAGGCTCAATTCTTGACTCTTAAATAAGTGCCTTAAATTGTGTGATCATAAATGTGCTCAACTGCTTTGACAGAGTGTCTTGATGAGTCCAATCCTGATTGAGCTATGTGCCATGTGTGTGTGTATGGTTTTGTGTTATTCTGTGCGTTGCATTTGATGCCTAGAACTTGCCCCGTGTGTTTGCAAAGCGAAATAGTAGTTTTGTTCAGTTTTGGAAGTGATATAGGCGTCTCCTTGTTGAGCCAGATATCTATATATATTTTACCCGCCTAACTGTTATGTATCATAGTTAGCCCCTTTGAGCCTGAAATCATGTTCTTTGGCAGCCACATTACAAGCCTTACCCAATTGTTTGAATTGGCCATATATTTGAACCTTTTCACCTCTCATGAGCACTTGAATTGTAATGAACCTTGAAAAGGTTAAAGTGTGGGGTAGTTGGTTTGGCTTTTGAGTGGAGCTAATGAAATAAGGAGAAAGGTGCATTGTCTTGGAAAGTAAGAGCCACTAGAAATGAAAAAAAATATAATTATATTGCTGTGAAAAATATTCTTTGATAGCGGTCACTCTCAATATAATTGTGCTTAAAAAGAAGTATGGGATAATATAGATTGAGGTGAAGGAAGAGTTTTGGTTTGACGTAAGGATGGGCTTGAGTGTTTAAGTATATGTATTAAAGTGCTTAAGGGAGGTGTAGTCACTCATATCCAAATGTATCCTACCCGACACGTAGCCTACATTACAACCAATTAA